CATTGCAGTGGTATGTGGGTCAGAGCTCTGCCCTCCTGAGCACCAGCCTCATTGATTGGGGTGGTTACTCCTGATTTGCACCTGAATATTTGAGAGGGGAGTTGGGTTCTATTGTTCATAACTATTAAATATCGTACAGTTTGCAGGACTATGCAAGTGTGCAAACAAAACTTAGGGATGCAGCCTAGATTCCCTTACTGGTCCATAGCCTTTGGGCTTCATTAGACCCTCCAGACTTTACCTAATTTTGGCATTATTCCCTCATCATTACATCATGAATGTGGAGACAGGGTCATTCTCTCCTATGTTGTGGTCATGTAAGGGATTCACGTGGTTTTAGTAGCGGGTAGGCAGTGTTTGAACAGGTTTCAGCTATTTTAAGCACACTTGCCTGTGCTGGGAGTCACACGAGAAGATTCAGTCTTACCAGAGAGTGGATTTTGCTCTCCCATCAGATGCAATATATACAGCATGAACTATGGAAATGTGCTTTGTCTTGGTTCATAGCGCCAGAGTAACAAAATGGGAAAGCTGCTCTCTATCCCAGATGCTCTGCTCCCAGCCTCAGGGTATCAGTACATCCTTCCTCTTCATTCACTGGAAATGGTTTCAAGGCTAAGAAACTTTGTTTCATTAATACAAGTGCAACTAAAGCAACAGAATCTTGGTCCTCTGTGAGAGTCTTTTCCGCTGGAAATCTGTTTTAGCTGGCTGCCTTCAGGGTGCCTGTGAGCAGTGTCAGTGGCTGTAGTTCCTTCTCTCTATGACTCCTTTTGCAAGGTTTTTACCTGCAAAAAAAAATCCAGTCCTTCTGCACACTCCTTGTGTTCTCTCCTTTCTCTTTTTATTTATCTGAAACCGAGGATTTTGTGATAGGTACATGTAAACCTTACGCTTCTCAGGTGTCCTCTTTCTCCTCTCTTTCCCTGTACTTTTCTGGCTCCCGTCCTCCCACTCCCAGGAAATATTTGAAAGATAATTCGGCATATTTTCTGCCACCTTCACATATCTCCCTGACTTCATGTTTTCTTAGCTGGAAGATAGCTTTTCGACATATATATATGTAATCCTTTTCACCTAGACTTGTGAGGAATTCCAGTCTCTTCCAGTGGGAGTTTTCAGGAAGGTTTAGGTTAAATGGACCAATAAGGCAAAAGCACAAAAGCATGTAGCAGGAGATCTCACTCTCTAAAGACATCTTTTCTCTTCTCCTCCCCCCCCAGCCCCTGGAAAATATATCAGAATATCTAGCTGTCAAAGAATTTAAACAATAATACCTGATCTGAAGACTGGAGTACAGGGCCTTTGAAAAGAAAGATTGTAATCTCTGTACAGTGTATCCAGGGACGGATGGAGCTGGAATTCAGGTGTGCTGAGCAGCAGAGTCCTGCGGGGATATTGCTCCAGCATGGTGGGACTCATTTTACCTGAGCTCTCCGTGGAAATTCTCTTGGATTTTCCCTGTTGCTTTCATTGTGGCCGTGGCGTCTTTGTCATGGAGACAGATGCCAAGTCCACTTTGAATTAATCTAAAATTAATGACTGAGCTTTTCTGCTGCTACCTGTGAGTGGGGTTGGAGACACCAGCAGCCCCTTGTGCTGGGTCAGCCTCTGCCCCCCCAGGAAATCTTGTTGCAGCATTCAGGGCTGGGATTCATCCCAGCTGATTTTAGATGTGTTGTTCAAGGTCCCTGTCCCTGCTCTTCAGAGAATTTAGGGAGATGCCTGTTTTACAAAGAAGCATCAGCTGCCAAGGATGCTGCAGACTGGAAGCCAACTGGGTTATAACCCACCCTAAAGCCTCACTGGTCTCCCTTGTAGGAAAGGCAGTCAGGGATCCCTAAAAATAAGAAGATGTTTCCAACATCATAAGAGTCAGATTTTTTAGAAGTGGGTACCTGTGGGTGGCCTTGGCCTGTACTGGGGCAGCTCAGGCCACAGTGGGGATCAGACATCATCTGCTGAACTTCCTTCCCTGTGCTCCCCACTCCTGGCCATTGGGTGCAGGATGATCTCTGAGGGTTGCAGGCCCCTTGGGGCGCTGGGCTGTGGATGCTGGTGTGTTTGCTAGCATGGGTGTCCCACTGGATGCTGCTTATCCACTGCTGCTTGGTCTGGGCTATGGCACCAGCCTGGGAGGGATCTCAGCACTGCTGTAACCTTTGCGGCCCACGGGAAAGGTGACTTCCATTTAGTTCTAAATTATGACATTATTTTATTAGATCTTTAAACTTTATTTAAATTTTTTATTTAAAAAGGGGGAGGAAGGTATCATATTTTAATTAGTAGCGGGGTGCCAAAAGAGACCTAGATTAATTATTTGAAATCACTCCATCCAGATGGTTTTAATTTTCACAGCAGGGAACCGGCATCTTTTTAAGGTGATATTTTTCAAATTAAAATCAGCTTGGATATTACTCATACTGGCTGCAGAGCGAGGGGGTGGGGAGTGTGAGCCGGCGTGCCCCATGTTTGTCCATCTGAGCGTGGGTTGCCCATGGGGATCTGTGTCAGAGAGGTGTGAGCTGCTGCCTGTCCATGGGGACTGCAACTCCAGGTTCTTGTGTTGGAGTGTTTTGTCGGCATTAGCTCCTGCTTTGGCTGGCCAAAGCCGGTGCCTGATATTCACCGTTCTCAACAGCTTTAGTTGCAGCACTGAGGCTGGAATGGATGGGAAATGCCTTGCAGCTTAGAAGGGAACCTGTGGCATCCTGTTCTTGCCTGTGTGGAGCCCTCGCTTGACCCCTTCGGTGGGTGGCCCCGCATCTGCTTGTGTGCCTGGGTGGTTTGGACACTGTGGATCTGTGGGCAACTCCTTGGTGCTCTGGGCGTTGGCCATGGTTCTCGGACCAGTCTTTGCTGGCTCCATAACCTTCACTCATGTGCTGACTGCTGCTCTCCCTCTCTGAGGTTGACCAGAGAGGGCCCTCTATTCCTGTTAGAGGAACCCCTTTCAAAGTCATCAAAGGTAGATAGGGGTTTTTTGCTGTTCCCTTGTCTATTAATGCTGTGTTGCATCTGAGCAGCCTCCCTGAACTTCTTGGAGCAGTGAGCATTCCCCAGGTTATCTACCATGTTGGTCATCCTTGAGGACTGTTCTTTGGCCTGTGCCATCCTCCCCATCCTGGCTGGGCTCACCTTGATATCCTCACTGTGATGGGTTATTTCTGGATCACGTGGCCTTTCCCCACAGGAGTGGTCACAGGTTTGATACCACCTTGGCAGGTGTGGGGAGAAAACGTGCAGCACCCAGTTGTTCCTTGCAAGCTGCTCTCCATCACCGACTCCCAAGCCCATGATGCATTTCTGAAAAACTTAAATAAATATCCATATTTGTGCATGATTGCAACTAATATTCTGCTGTAATACTGGCATTACCCCACTTGCTGTCAGAAAGAAGTTATAATTTAAATATCCCCTGTGATAACAGATTTAACTGGAAACCCCTGAACCTGCAGATGTGACTGAGCTGCAAAGGGAAAACTCCATTTAGGGCCCTTGTGAGCTAAAAGTTTGTGATATTTGCACTGCTGCAGAAGCCAAAAGCTGACTTTACAAGTGGGAAAAATATTAATGTGTTTAAATGAAACAAACTCCCATTTCTATCCCCATGGTAAATCCTTACAATGAATGTATTTGCTCTTAGAGGGCTTTAAAGCTTGAAATATGAATGCTGAAAAGAATGTGACTTTTTGCAGCACAGATCAAACATTCTCCAGAGTTTGGCATAAGCTGTGTTTCTACGGCAAGGCTGGGATCTTACAGGCGTGAGTATTTCCAGAGCAGGACCGTGCAGTTGCACTTGCTGACACTTACACATTCTTGCATTGTGTTTCAACCATGTCTCCTTTCTCCCCCTCCATATCGGAGATGGATCTGAAGCAAAATGTCCAGTCTGCCTGTTCCTGCCTCTCCGGGGAAATTCCCAGAATCTGAATCTTGAGCATGACTGGAATTTGTGTTTAGATTAGAGCTGGAATAAAAGGCTGAATGTGGACGTGTCTGGGTTTTTGAGATGATGATGGCACACTGCTCATCTAGGTGGCAGCTTGGCCCCTTCTGCAGATACAGCTGTGTCAGAGCAGGTGGTTTAGGAAGATGCAGCAGAAATCTGTCCTCTGCCATAGCTCCTGGTGATGCTGCAAACCAGCTCTGGCATCAATAAATGTGTGAGACACTGTGGGATTGGCCGTGTGTCTCCCATCGAGAGCTGAAGACCTGGACCTGGACTGCCAGAAGGCAGTTTGTGGCATCCTGGAAGCACAGCTAGACATGGAGGACATCTGTAGGGTGAGTGTGTATTAGACAGAACAAGCAGTGCCAAATTTCTCCCTTGCTAGCTGTTGTGGTGATCTTCAGGAGATCACTGCGATGTTTTGTACCAGGAGCATGTGGCATGACCACTTCTATGCAGTGTTTGACGGATGCTGGCTGTGGGGAAAGGATTTTCTTTCTTGCCATGGTAAGCTTACATCTTCATGAGAATAAAATCTATGTTCTTACCCTCCAAGAACCCTCCTGCAATGTGAAGGAGAGCACTGTCATTGATACAGGCTGCCCAGGGCAGTGGCGGAGTCACATCCCTGGAGGTGTTTAAGAGACGTGCAGATATGACACCTGGGGACATGGTTAGTGGTGGCTGTGGCAGTGCTGGGGGAACAGCTGCACTCAATGATCTTAAAGGGCTTTTTAACATCAAGCTAATATTGCTGATGGTGTGGCAGGGTTGGTGTGGACAGATGGAGCACACACATGTGTATGCCTCCTTTGTGCTAAAACCAGCATTAAACCTGGACCATCCACGCAGGAGTTAGTGGAGAGGTGTCAGTTTTGCACCTGTGACTAAGCTGTGAGCTCAGCCCCAGAGTGGTCCCTTGGGTTGTTCCTGTGCGGAGCATCCCAGGGTGGTTCAGCTGGAGGCAGTGGGACAGTGCAGGTTGCACCCTGTGACTTAATGGGACCACACTGGTAAATGCTTTTTTTTCTTCTTCCTTTACAAGCCCAGCTTCTAGTGGAAACAGACACTTTTGGCAGTCAAGTCCGGATCAAAGGGAAGGAGACAGATTTCTACCTTTGCATGAACAGGAAAGGCAAGCTAGTGGGGAAGGTAAGTGTTTCCTATTAATTAATTTGTAACCTGAGTGTTACCCTTAGCAGCCTCGTCTGGGCTGTAAGGATGTGTTCAAGCTTCGCCTGTCAGCCTCAAATGAGAAGCAGGATGGAGGGGATGTGGAGTTTGTGAGGCTGCCCATACCCTCCCAGCCTCCCCAGCCCCTGCCAGACAGCCCTCAGCCAGGCTGGGATCTCCAGTGGTGCCTCAGATGTGGATGGGTTTGTGCTTCACGGTTGTGTTCAATTGACATGAGATGTCATGTCAGCATCCCAGTGCCATGGATGGCACTCCACAATAACTTCCTTATTTGGTCTTTCTTTGGGGGGAAATGCGAATATAAATTTCCCTCAAAAATTCCTTTTAGGGGGAAATTAAAAATAAAAGGGCAAGTGGAGCACTGTGCTGTGGGGGGTGTAGGCAACATAAGGCCCCTTCCTCTCAGTGGTGAGCCAGAGGATGGTGTGACAGAGCTCATGCTTGAATTCCAACACCGTGCTGGAGCTGGGCCTCATGGTTCAGTGTTACAGGAATTTTTTTATTACTTTGGATCCCCCCTGAATGGAACCATGTAACAAATTACAATGTGTTTACCCATCTAGCTTAACTTCTTTGCATTTTTTTGTGTATTAATTTGTTTTTGTAATTAAAGCAGTTCTGTATTGTTGGCGAAGCTGGAGGCTTGCTAAGCAGGCAGGGGCTTGTGCAAAGCTAAATTACTACCAAAATAAAAGGAAAATAAAACATCCCAGCCTTCCAACCCCTGCTGCCCACACTTTGCACCACCAGGCATTCAAATCTAGCATCTTTGTGGCTGTGAAAAAGGAAAGCTTGAGTCAAGGCAGTGAAAGCCACGCTCCCAAACAAAAATCAGAAACCAAATGGCTCTGATGAAAAATGATTTACTTTTGTGGTCCCGGGTGTGACACCTGCGGGACACTGCCCTCCCCAGCAATCCCCCCCTCCTCCCCTTGTGTGTTCCTCGGGAGCAGTGTGGCTTCTCTGTCGAGGCTCAGTCCAGATCATTTGCTGCCAGCTGTGCCCTATGCCTGACCCGCTTCGGAGCTGCCTGTCGAGGCATCCAGAGCACTGCTCTGGACTGGGGGAGACTTGGAGATTGGTGCTCCGGCAGGACTGGACCGAAGCCGCCGGTTCTCTCTGCTTCCTGCCCTTGTGCAGTGCGATTGCAACACCATGTGAGACACTGTAGTTTGATCTTGGACAGGGAAATTCATTGTTTTAACCAGATTTAGCTGGTTAAATGTAGATGGGTATCTCAGGATACACATTGGATGCTTTCAAAGGTTGCATTGGACACAAACCTGACTTTGATTTTTTTTTGTGCTCTAATTTTCCATCCTTTAAATGTGATGATAGCGTTTTTCCCTGCAATGTTATAAGGATAATTTTGTTAATGTTTATGAGGTGCTGATACCACAGTTATGGAGACCTTAGAGGCACTCAAATTAGACGGGGTGAAACAAGCGCAAAATCTTACCTTTTTCTTTAGTAGACCTTTCCCCAAGTGGATCAGCAATGGCACACGGTGCAGCCCACAGCCTTTCCTGCTCTGTGCTAAGTGCCCAGGAGCATCCTGGCAAAGTCAGCACCTATTTTTCAAAACATACATTATATTTGTATATAGTGTGTGTTTAAGACTCATCCCTTGATTTGGTCCATTGGGTGCCAAGGCAGGACAGTTCTTTAGCTCGTCACCTTTCACGCAGCATGAACCATTTTTTTCCCCCTGATATGCTTTTCATAGCATTAAGTTGGCAAATGGTTTGTTACAAAAAATAAATGAGTCTATTCTTGTAAATATGAGCCTTCCCACCCCAGCCTGCTGACAAGTTCACAAACCAGCCGACCTGAGCCGGAGGGGGTATGGGACATGGCGTTTGGAAAGAAAATGTTCCAGACGTGTTGCCCATATTAACAGCTTCTCATGCGCAAAAAAAAGAAAATAATAGCATGTCTTCTTGATACCAAAAGAACGTGGTTTTAATTATTATCATAGTTTCAGCTCTCTTTGTGGCAAGAGTTTGAGGGAATGCTTTTTAGCTTGAATGCTCTAAACAGCTAGTAAACCCCAAGGAAAACATTAGATAAAAGTTACGCCTGGGCTTATACAAATATTTAAGTTCCGTCTGGGGGTGGAGGGGAACGAAACCCATAAACTGATTGTTTCACGGTTGTCCCAGTATGTTCATTTGGCCAGAGAGGAACCGTGGGACCAAACCGGGTCTTTTCCTCTGCTCATTTCCTATAGCCTTACACAGCATAATCCCCAACAATACCAGCACATGCCATCTGGCTTTATTCTGCTCCTCAGTCAGCAGTCTTGAGTCCCCCCAGTTGAAAACCTGCTTTGAATTTAGGCCCTTTTATGTCCCATAATAACCTAGAAAGTGTATTATGGGCTGGAGCAGGCTATGACAGGTATCCATAAGGAGGGTAGTTTACACTCCCACCTGTAAAGGGAGAGGAGAGAACAGCCCTGCTTTTCTGGGCTGTCCAAGGGCAGGGTAGAATGGACTTGGCTTCCTGCAGAGCTGCCATGTGGGAGGTGAGGGTGCTACTGCAGACTGTGGCAAGGGAGACACCACTTTTCAGAGCAAGATACAGAAGCAGGGGAGACAAGTAATGTCTGTAAGGAATGCAGAAGATTTGAGAAGAATGGGGAAAGAGCTAAGCACATATTTGGGTTGATCCAGAAGTGTCTTCAGAAGATGCTCCAAGCAATCCCACTAATGTTCTTCCATGGCATTAGATGGATTGCATCTTTCCCACATCCAGCGATATTGTTTCCTGTTGGCTTCATTTTGAGAACAACTCCACTTCTCAGTGCATTAAGTGACTCCTTGAGCTCTTCCAGGAAGGAGAAGAAGGTGGTGGTGCTGAAATGTATCTCCTTAGTGGGCTGGGACTCAGAATGCAGTGTGGTGAATGTCTGCTGTGTGCTGTGCTCCATGTAATGCTGCTCCATTGATACTGCAACTCTGCAGGCAACTCCTGCACTGCTGGAAAAGTGGAGGAGTCCTTCTTCTGAGGGAGGATGTGGCTACAGAGAAAACTCCAGAAACAGGAATAAAGTTAGAAAACTGATAGAATGAGGTCTATCACAGATCATCCCTTCGAGCTGTACAGAAAGTGAGTGCACTAAAGTTGTATCCTGAGAGAACTGCATCGTTGCATCAGTTCTGCTCCTGAGAATTGAAGCCTGTGAGCATGTGATTCTATAAAATAGGTGGTTTCCCACCAAAAACACATGCTGACTTGCACCATTTCTCTTTAGGTTTTCTTTCAAAAATCCTCAGTGACCTGGTGTCCACACGTTCTCAAAATCATTGTAGTAGATGTGCATTATTTTTGTTAAAGAATTTTTCTCTGAGCTTAATGTGAGCAGTGGGGAAAAGGTGTTTGGTGAAAGGTAGGAAGCCATGGCCAGTTGGATGGCTGAGGCAGTGCTTCAGGCTGGGGACAGGTAATTTGGGTGCCTTCCGGGGACAGCTTTGCTGATGCCACGTCTGCAGTGCTGGAGCCCTCTCAGCACTCACAAAGCACTGACAAGCAGTGCTGAGCTCGTGCCCTCAAGCACAGTCCAGCTCCTGAAAAAAACTGTGCCAACCAAAGCATGGCAGTGCCAGGAGCATGTCATTGGTGCTGGGGGCTGGAGGTGGCATGGCTGTGCTGGCCACCTCTCCGTGACCAGCACCACTGTGCTGCTGCCACTTACAGCATAGACCTGCCTCTCAGACATAAGATTTTTTTCTGGTATGATAACTGCTTTCCAAGCCAATATATTTCTTAATGTTACCAGAAAGTTGCTAATACCATATGGCAAGGCTCTCTGTATTTTTGCAGGACAACAAACAAATTGTTGCTAGATGCCAGACTGCTCTGGCAGAGCTTTATCACTGATGCCTGCCAGCAGTAGCCTTTAGGGGATAGTAATAATTTGGGATTGTTTACATTACAGCTTTAAAATAGGGGTTTTCTTGAAGCATGTGTGTGTTTACTCAGAAAAGTTGGCTAAAAAACTGTGACAGCATCAAGGAGTGAAGGCACCCGCTATGACCCCTGAATGTGCTCTTGGCCCTTTATAACCCCTCTGGCCTCATGGGAGAGGGCATGTGTTGTGTTACAGGAACTCCAGGGGCTTCAGTGGGAGCCATCCTTTGTAGGACAAGGAGACTTACCTGGGTGGGAGAGACCAGGTGATTCTCCAAAGCCTTACTCATATACCTGGAGCAGCTTTTTCATCGGTTGGCTTTGGTCAAGGTCGAGGTTAAGATTTCTTGAAAAGCTGCCTTTGAAACACTGCTGGTGGAGACTCCAGGCCAGGGGGCTGAGGCAAGGAGACTTAGGGATGAGCTCTGAGCCCTATGCCCTTTACATGCCCCAGTCCTGCATGGCAGGGTGCGAGTCCTCCTGGTGTGCCAGGGCTGTCCTGGCAGCCGGGTGTGCTGCAGAGCTGCTGGGAGGTGTGTGGCGAGGGCAGGGGCACACCGAGGTTTGCAGTTTGGAACTCTGATGCAGTAGATGAGGTGTTTACCCTCCTTAGCTTGGATGTTTAAAACCACACCTAACTGCGTCTTGGATTTGGGGCAGAACTCTGAGTTTCACAGGGGTTTGATGCTTATCCAGATTTTTTCCTGGAGTTGCACAGTACTCAGGTTGCTTGAAAGGGGCTTGTAAAACCTAACAATTTCTGGAGCTGAATGCTGAATTTGCAACATAAACATGACCAGAATTGGTGGGGTGTCGTGTTTAATAGTGTGCGTTTTGTGGATCTCTCTGTGGCATGTTCAGCCATAAACTATTCTGACTTGGCATCTCATTTGAAAGCAAAACTTGACATGGCTTTTGCTGGGTCTCACTCAGATCTTGTTTTGAACTGCAATCCGGTTCTTCATATGGGGAGGTTGGTCCTTTTTTGAAGTGAGTTGTTCCCAGGCTTTCACTCCCCCGTGAGTTTGTTTTAGTTTAAGTCATCT